CTCCTCACTGTATTCCACTACTAAAAGTGTGGCCACAGAGAGGATGGAGGCTGTCTCTTCACAGGGACCCACATGGAGAATACAAAGGGAACAGATGCAAGCTGCACCAGAAGAGGTTTCATCTCAATATAAGAAATAAATATTTTACAGTGAGAACAATAATTCACTGGAACAACTTCCTCAGGGATGTGGTAGAGTCCCCATCAGTGGAGGTTTTCAAGATGCAGTTAGAAAGGTTGCTAGATAATCTCATCCATGCTCTCTTTCTTGTGAAAGGTTGGATCAGATGATTGTTCAAGGTCCCTTCCAACCTGGGCTACAGAATTTATGACTCTGTGAACTGCTCTGCATTACTTTCTGGAAGGTATCTCACGCTTACCATTGTCAATGGAGAGAGTCTAGGGAGAATCATGTTTACAAATGTAATCCCAAATTATCAGCATGGTCACTTCCTGCTCACTTCTGGTTGTTTCTTAGCCATGCAGTTACAAGACACAGATCTGTAGGTGCAATGATGGACAGCTGCTGGAAAAGAGCTAGACACCAGAGACAGTGTCCAAATTTAACTTCCAAACTGTACCTTTCTTTAGCATTTCACTGGACTCAGCTGCCTTCATGTCTCTCCCTTTTCCCATTACCCCATTTTAACATCTGTTTTTCACATAGAAATACTTAAATGAGGCAGAGGAACTTGAGTATTTTTCTTCTGTGAAATAAAAAAATCCCACAACTAAGCACTTCATTTTCATTTCCTGGGCTCTCTGTTCCAGATATACAAACTGTAGATGAAAGTAATGGGAGGCGAGGTCACAATACAGCAATGAAAAAACCCTCGTACTTTGAAATATAGGTTGCAGTTTTCATTTTGGGTGTTAATGGTCCTGTAGTACCAGCACTCCACATCAAGAAGTCAATAATCAAACAGTGGTTAGATACAGTACTCACAAAAGCTGCATCACAGGAAGATTTTGTACATTTACAAAAGCAAAATAAATTTAGACAAGAAATACATTATGGACATGGTGGAAAAAAGTGGCTCAAGGAGCACTGCACACTTGTTTTTCTTTTAATTATGTCTTGTTTTTAATAACATAGACTTTCTAGCTCCAAAATATATTTCACAGTGTAAAATCAAACAAAACACTGTAACACTCAACTGGTATTTACATACAGTTAGAAGGAAACCTCCTCTTGGTTTCTTCCATCCTGAAAGTAATGGAGATGACAGCCACTGTGAATGGTGGCCATGCATGTCCAGCATCTTCAGCATACATTCAACGTAAAGATTACTTGAGAGCTAATTTGTGCGATGGCATCAGAGACTGCTTTAGATAACTATATACACCTGAAGTATGATCTTTCCAGTAACACTGAGAAAGTTGGAGTGACTAAGGAAAGCCACCTTTGCAAGTGTGTCAATGCTTTCCATAAAAATATCATCATAGAATGGGGTTGCGTGTATAATATATTGTGTATTAAATATGCCAAGATACCATTTCTTCTAGTAAATTCAGTGCTGGTGAAAGGTACCAAAGATTTCAATCTGCCCATTGGACAAGTAACACAGGGACTGGCTGCAACAGCAGAAATTTCCCCTCCACCACCCTCCAACTTGTCTTGCTCCTGAGCATTGGCTCTAGGAATCTAAGGAGCAAGTCGAAGTTTTCATGACTATTCAGTCCCTGGCCTCTTTACTGAGACTGTTAAAAAATAATAGCAATAAGAATGTGCTGAGGCCAAATCCCAAGCTGGAATGAAGTGGCTTTTTTCTAAAGATAAGTTTTCTGTACAAGTTTTTAATTTAGCTGAGGACCTGGTCTCCAGTGTGCATGGTTGGAGGGTGGTTTTGGTGATGTGAACGTTTGTCCACGAGGCACTGGACTGAGATCCACCAACTCAAATTGCAGAGCACTGTAGGATAGCCAGGAAAACAACAGAATCCAAAGCCTCAACAACAACAAAAAGGGAAACAAAATAAGAAAAAAAATTCCGAACACCTTCTTTCTCTGGATTGAAACATGGCAAAATGTCTCCAGCTGGGGGCAGTTCTTCAGCACCTTTTTGTCAAAAGTTCTGATTTATTAATGCTTGAAACTTGGCTACTAGCCATTCAAGTAAAATATACTTTTTGATTTTTTTAAGCAATACTCTTAACGTTTTGTCAATGTAACACCTTATGAAAGCACATACTGCAGAAAACACAAAACTATATGTTATCTGTTCATCTAACATTAGATAATTTCGTTTTCAAAAATATCTAAGTATGCATTTACCTGATAGATCGGACTTTCCTCACCTCCCATGTCTTTCTGGACTGCAAAGTGTGTGGTTGCCTAGGAAAATTTCTAACATAGCTTTTAGCAGCATGTAACGAGAGGGGAAGCTCCAATCTATCAGTTAAAAATACTGCAGTGACTTTTGCAGAGTCTGATAGAGGGAAAAAATCTTGTTCTTGGAGCAGTGAACCAGTGCTGAAGACTTGAAAAAGAAGATGTCTGGATCATTTAACTACCACTTAAGATAGTATAACATGTTTTAAACTTTTTTGCTGGTCTCCTGTGCAAGGGTAGATCTCACCTGGAAGGGGTGGAGGCATCTCATAAGGGCATGATCCTGTACAAATATGAAGTCAATCTTGACATTTCTCTCTGTTTCAAATTAATTTTACATTCATTTACACTGCCACAACTGAGAGAACATAATGACCCCTAAAGCACTACGTAAGTGCTAAATTATGTAATTAATATTACTTTCACAACTTTCTGAGACCTTTTTTTTTTTCTTTTAGAAATAAGGAAACCAGCATCATTTTTAAAAATCTATGCTTAAAATGACATTAATTTTTTTTTTACCCAAGCTAACAAAAACCAGTGAAATTAAAAGCTCACACTCAGATGATGCTAAAATTCTGTCTTTCACTTTTTTTTTTTTTTGTAGTCAACTAATACCAAAGAACAAGCCTGAGTTTTGAATTTCCTGGTTACTATTACTCTCAGTTCAAAACTTCACATTTAAAATGTCATTTTCTTTTTTTTTTTTTAATATATGCATACATAGACGCACATATTTATATATTTGTGTATATATATATATCAGTTCATAAATCCCAAATGAAGTGAGGGTTAGAATGGTCCTCAAAGCCTTTATGCACTGTATAAAGACTTCTAAGAATTGACATCATCAACATTTGACTGAAGTAGATATGTACCAGTCGTGGCTTTTCCTACAAGGCAAAGGTTGAGAGAACATTTTAGTTCCATTCAAAGAAAAGCAGTAAGACCATTGGTGTTTAAACAAACAGAACATCCAAAGGGAGAGAAAACTTCCAGGTGTGGGAAGTCATCCAAAGTCTTTATCACTTCCTTCCATATCATCTTATTGTTCAGTTTAGTTGCTCACCAAATGCAGATGACTTTTACCTTCCAAGATGATCGTGTCAGATCCTTGCCGTGCCTCTTTCTCTGGCAGGGAAGAGTCTCACTCAGCAGTCAACCAGGTTGCAAAGGCACCACATTCTGTGAGACAGCGCTACCTAAAACCACGCCATGTTTTTACACAGATGCAGAAGGTTATCTGGAGGGAAAGGCCGTCCTAGAACTTACTTTCGCTCTTAAGGTGGGAGGGAAGGGACAGTTATTTTTATTATTCAAAGAATCCAATCGATCCATCTATCGATCAATTGGTCAATGCCAAAAATATAGATATATCTCAACTGTATGGCCCTTTTAGAAAATTCACAGCTTAGCTAGAACATAAAGCATTCTCAAGAGTGTCCCTTCAGTACAGAAAAATACAGCTGATCCCATGGCTCTTGCCTGGAGTCTCCGCACTGACTGATGATAGCTCTGTAGCTTTGCTTAAGCACAGCGCTTTTCTTAAGTGCACTGGGAACATCTGACTAAATCCAGCCACAAACTTAATTTTCTGGAGTTCTTCCTGAATCAGCTGGTTTTCATTGACACAAGCCTGTTAGCTCCATCGTAAGACTGAAAAGACACTGCAAAAATTCACATGCCAAAAGACAGGTACAGGCTAAGATACGTTGGACTAGGAAGAAAAAAAAAAAAGAAAAAAAAGAGGCAAATCCAGACAGAAGTGGAAACTAATTTGAAAACAACGGTCATGTCCATGTCCATTCACAGATTAGTATCAGTTTGGCAACCAAGGATCACAACTGCACAGCAATCACTTGTTATTTTGACGGACAACGGATTACTTGCAGATGCTCTGAAATGCAAATTATTGAGTGGGTGGGCTTGGCCTCTTAATTATCTTTTAAACATTTTTCCATTAATGGCCTTGAGTACAGTTGGATATTTACAGTGATTGTTAAAAAGATATATATACACATTTCCTTTGCTTTTTCACCTCTGGAAATATGAAGGAAAGGGAAAGGAAAGGGAAAGGAAAGGGAAAGGAAAGGGAAAGGAAAGGGAAAGGGAAGGGAAGGAAAGGAAAGGAAAGGAAAGGGAGGCCTATACAACCACCAAAATTATGAGAAAGGAAAGGAAAGGAAAGGAAAGGAAAGGAAAGGAAAGGAAAGGAAAGGAAAGGAAAGGAAAGGAAAGGAAAGGAAAGGAAAGGAAAGGAAAGGAAAGGAAAGGAAAGGAAAGGAAAGGAAAGGAAAGGAAAGGAAAGGAAAGGAAAGGAAAGGAAAGGAAAGGAAAGGAAAGGAAAGGAAAGGAAAGGAAAGGAAAGGAAAGGAAAGGAAAGGAAAGGAAAGGAAAGGAAAGGAAAGGAAAGGAAAGGAAAGGAAAGGAAAGGAAAGGAAAGGAAAGGAAAGGAAAGGAAAGGAAAGGAAAGGAAAGGAAAGGAAAGGAAAGGAAAGGAAAGGAAAGGAAAGGAAAGGAAAGGAAAGGAAAGGAAAGGAAAGGAAAGGAAAGGAAAGGAAAGGAAAGGAAAGGGAGGCCTATACCACCACCAAAATTATGATTTATTTTTTTCTTTTGAAAGGGAGCATTTTTGGTTTGCTTTTGGATTGATCGGTTCTCCTTAGCTGCTCATGTCGCTAGGTTCTCCGCATTTATGCTGGACATCCGAATCTGAGAGCTGCTCTTGCTCAGAATGGAGAGTTGTGTCCCCCCGTTCACTCCGCTGCTCGCTAGAGAAGGATGACGATGTTTGAAATCCACAGCAAAATACCGGTTGACTTTCCAGCTCCTCCATTTTCTCTTTATTTCTGATTGCACCTTTAGGGAGAAACTTCAAAAGGTCATTTTTTATGTACTTAGCTGCTTGAGGACATGCTGACAATTTATCAAGATTAGAAAAAAAAAATTTACATAACTATTTTTGGTCTACTATTAAACTTTTAATTTCAGCAAAATCTGAAGTGACTTCTCCATGTCTGAAAGAGGTCCAGGCATGCAGTGGTCCAGGGTTTGTGTCTCTGACTTCAGATAATTTAGCATCATCCCAGAAGTGCATAGAAGACCTGTTCAACACTGACCCAAACATGGTTATTGAGTTATCTTCTTGGAAAAAGTATCCTGTTTTCATCAATGGCCGGTATCAAATAGACAACAAGGAGCCAAATAAACCAGCAACTGAAAGGTACTGGTCAGTAATGAAATAAGAATAAGCTGTCCGTGCAGACAGCTGGTCTCTCATCTGCCATTAATGGGTGCATGTCTACTGAAAACTTTGCCTCCTGCCTTCAGATGACCTCTAAGCAGACAACAGCTCTTGATTTTATATATATCTCGACATCTTTCTTTCCCTTGAGGTTTTTTTTGTGGGCATCCCTAGTGATTCACCAAGAGTAAACTGATCAATGGTCAGATGTTCAACTAGAAAATAAGTAAATCATTCAATAGCTTCTCTACTTTTCACTTATCACTAATTTCCCGGTAATCCTGCTATGTGTGCACATGTGCACATATGTACATAAGAGAGTAAGGATTTAACATAAGAACAATCATACTAGCTCAGACCAACATTTATTCATCTGTCACTCATTCCTGACAGTAACCTGTAGCATATTTCTGAACGAAATAGCGTAAGAACAAGGAAGTATGTAGATATATTTTCCCAATATATTTTTCCAGTCTCCAATGAAGTGCTGTATCAAAGATGTTCTTCTTGTCTTTAACAGTCAGTGCTAGATCTTCCTGGACTAATACAGTCATCAAAATGGATCAGCATATGCCAAAATGCTAAACAAGCTCTTCGACTGCGTGGGCATGAGCTACAGGGAGGAAAAATCCAACCAGGAAACTTACATTCTCCTTCCAATACTTCTAAATTTCTATTTTGTTTAAGGTATAGGTAGTTATAGAATAGACAGAAAATGGAGGTATACTATCTCTATAAAAAGAAAATAGTGTTTACATCTGTAACAGTGTAATATACCTTTCTTAATTTAGTGGAGGTGCAAGATATTCTCTAATATCTTGAGGTAGAAAATGGTTTTAATTAATCTGCTTGCATTAATTTGGCTGAGAATCACCACTCCACTCCCTCCAGGGGGTTACAGGAAATCCAACACACCATGCGTGTTAGCTTAGAAGGTGCTTAGCCAAGACCATCTGGCTATTCTTTTAGCATTCATGGAAGGTAATAAATGAAGCAGCAGCTGTAGGTGAGAGAGGTGAATATCCAGTAATGCCAGCTGCTGAAATGTGTGTCCAGCAAGGTGTGAGCCAGAACTCACCTCCTGAGCTACTTGGGACTTAGCTGTGAGAAATGCTTTAATAAATCTGTGAGTTCTCTAACAGTCACCTTTACTAAGACCATGAGCAAAGGTGACCTGTAAGTTTGTTTGATGAACTTGGGGATTGTTATGATTATCTGAGAAGAAATCACTTCGATGAAGGAGTTACAGACTTTTTGTACTAGAGACCAGATATTGTATGGTATATGCAAACAGGCATAGAACATATACTGCACTAAAACTGGTAGAAATAAATGGTCTCAGCCTCCTTGAAAAGAACTAAAGGTGATTTTAGGAGAAGCCTTCTCCTGTTGGGTTGAGAAATAGATGTGTATCAGTGGAGGAGAGAATGGATGAACTCTAAATACTCCTCTTAAAGCAACTTTGAGATGGGAGATTTTTTCCATTAATTCAGGTATTCAGTCTGATAAACAAAGGCAGAGGAATTTCAAGTTGCAGAACAGAATGAGTGAATGAGAAAAAATGAATGTGGGAAGGTGACACTAGCAGCAGCAGTTGTCATGTGCTGAGAGGAGTGTGAGGCTTGAAAGAACCCAGGAGGTGTCTGAGGGGGTTTCTGGGCATCCAACACTGATGGGCTGTGTGTGTATAGGAACCAGGTGGCAGGTGACAGGTCTTGAGAGAAGAATGGGCAACAGCTGGGTGGTGCCAGCTGCCTCCATCGCAAGGTGAAGTCATGGAAAGACTCATATAACTGAATCCTGGGGAGTTCCAGCAGCTAGGAGGGCAAACGGGGCATTGGGAACACTTCAGCAACAGAACATGGTATCAGTTGGGAGCACCATCAGCAGTTTGTGTGGCAGTTGAGGCAGGCAGGGCTGTACACTCTGACACTTGTTGGGCTGCTGTCTGCTCTGCTCACCTGCAGGCTTAGGCTACAGCTCTGATGGTCACCCACGCTAGCTGGTGGCTCTGCAAGAAAACTAAGCAGCTTGAGGTCTCCAGGGTTTATTAGGCAATGCTTTAAAGTTGTTGGAAGCATGGCGGTAGAGACCAGATAAGGGCTGCACTCTGCAGCAGACAGGAATCAGCTACGTGGCCAGGCTAGTCTGGGAAGAATGGAGACAACCACAACACATATTACGCCTTCTCAGTGGACAAAACCAATGAGCAATATTCACAGGGAGAAACTGCACCAGCAACACATGTTAAAGTTGCAAAAAGAAGCAGCAAGTGTGTGTGGTGGGTGACTGTGCTGCAACATAGAGACACTCATCTGCCTGCCTGATATACAGTCAAGTGAATTTTGCTGCTTGCCAGGAGCCAAGATCTAGGATGTCACAGAGAGATCACCACAACTATTTAAAAGTATAGATTACTACCCCCTACTTCTTTTCCATGTGGGTGTCAATGACATGGTAAAGCAAAGCTTGGGCAAGGTCAAGCAGAACTTTAAACCCCTGAAGGCACAAGTGAAAGGGACAGATGCTTAAGTGATCTCTGTCTTGCCAATCAGAGGTAAGGGTGCAGGCAGAAGTCAACGTATCATGCAGATCTATATCTGTCTTCGTGGCTGGTGTTATTGCCAGGGTATTTTTTTCTAAAATCATAGGATGTTTTTCAATAAATACAGCCTTTTTGGAAGAGATGGGATACACCTACCAAGAAGAAGCGGGAGAATCTTCAATATTGGTTTGGTTGACATAGTGAATTTGCTTTAAACAAATGAACTTGGGGCATAGTGTCCAAAGCTGTGACATCTGCATGTTCATAAGTAACAAGAGCTCATCTAACAGGGCAGTGAGGAATGCTCCCCCAATCCTCTTCAAAGGCAAGAACCCTAACTCCACTCACCTCAAGTTTGTGTATACCAATGCATGTAGTCTGGGCAGCAAACAGGAGAATCTGGGGTTCTATATCCAGTCAGACAGCTATATTATAGAAAACACAGAAACTTGGTGGGAAAATTCATATGACTAGAAGACCAAAATTGATGTCTACAAACTCTTCCAGGAAGGGAAGAAGAGGTGGAGTTTCACCTTATGTAAAACAAAGATTTGAGTGTATGAAAGTGAGTTACAGAGACCATAAAAATTCTGTGGAATGCCTTTGGATCAAGACTTATTTGACAACATAAGAACCAATAGTGGCCTTGGATGCAGTGATCATAACATTATGGAGTTTTAGATACTGCTGAGCAGACTGAAGACCAGCAGTAGAACAAAGACCCTGGATTTTAGAAGAGCCAAATTTCAATACTTTCAGAGCCCAACTGTGAGTGATTTCATGGGAAGCATCTACCGAGAGCAAAGAAGTTTGTGAGTGCTGGAAGGAAACTCGGGTGTAGCCTCCTGGAAGCACAAGAACAGTCTATCCCCTACAATGGGAAAGGAAAAAGGCAGAACAAGAGACCAGTTGTCTTACCAACAAACTTTTGTTTAGAAGCAAAAAAAGAAAACCATACTAGTTATAGAAAGACAGTCAAATACTCATCAAGGACTACAAGAACATTACTAAAGTATGCAGAGATGCAGTCAGGAGGACTAAGGCTCAGCTTGATTTGAAAATAGCAAAAAAACCTCAAGGAAGGGTATTCAGATATGTGAGGAGTAAGGAGAAGCATAGAGAAGACAGGTCAATTGCTAAACAGCACAGGGAAACTAGTCACTAATAATGCTGACAAGGCAGAGGTTCTCAATATTTTCTCTGACTCTGTTGTTACTGGTGCAACTCGACCCCAGGTCAAACTATCAAGCAGCTATGACAACACGTGCCGAACAAAAAGTAGGCTGGCCTGTGGCCCCTTGCAGACACTTAACACACATGAATCTATGAATCCAGATGGCATCTGCCCCAAGGTGTTAAGAGAAGTGATTGACATGGATCCAAAGCACTGTCTATAATACTGGAAAAATCACAGAGATCAGGGAATATCCTTCATGACTGGAAGAGGGCAAATGTCGTACCAATCTACAAGAAAGGCCTCAGAAAGGCTCTGCTCTACTTATTCTGGTCTAGTCTAGTCTATTTGTCTTCTTTCATTCTTTGGGAAAATAATGAAATGAGACATCCTAGAAATTATCATACATCAGACAAACCAGGTGACTGCAAAAAGCCTGTAAGCATTTACCTGAGGCAAATCATACCAGACTAACCTAGTCATTTCCTACAACAAAATAATGTTTCCTGTTGATGTGGGGAAAGCGGTGGATGTTGTTTACCTGGACTTCAGCAAAATATACGACAGTCTTTCCTTTAGTCTTCTCCTAGACAAGCTGGCAAGATAAAGATTGGGTGGGTGGTCTGCAAGATGGACAGGAAATTGGCTAACAGGCAACACTCAGAGGGTGGTGAAGAATGGTTTTTACTTAGGCTGGCAGCCTGTCACTGGCTGGGGTCCTCCAGGACTTGATACTGGACCCCACATCGTTCAACATCATCAGAAATGATCAGGATGATGGGATTGAAAGTACCCTTACCAAGCTAGCTGATGACACCAAGCTGGGTAGTAAGGTGGGCATGTCAGAAGAGAGAACCACCATACAGAGAGAACTGAACAGGCTGGAAGCATCGGATAGCAAGAACTCTATGAAATTTAGCAAAGACTGATGCCAAGTCCTGCACCTGGGATGGAATAACCAGAGACCAATATAGCCCCCACCTGTGTTATGGAGCATTAATCTGAGCCATCATCTCTGGCAAGACCAAAGTTTTGGTTTAATAAAGATATTGCACATCCTCTTTCTTTTGCTGAGACATTGTGAGATTCAGCTGAAGATATTATAGAATATGGTAGGTGATGAGTTACAGTGGAGGTTTAGAACCACAGTTACTCCCACAAAGAAATGGGATGGTGATGGTGGGTGGGAGAGGTTAAATATTAAAATCTTACCTCCCCATTCAAGAAACAATAGAGGACAGCAACAACAAAACCCTAGGTAAATGGGAGAGAAAAACAATTAATGTAATTCAAATCCTTCAGTAAATGCTAGGTAGTAGCTGGAGTTCAAACAAACAAACAAAACTGAAATCCTAGTATACAAAACATACACGTCAATGAAAAAACACACAGTCTGAGAACTGTGCATACAAAGTAGTTACAATGAATAGAGATTTCTTTTTAAGAAAAGCAGAATTCACTGTATAATCACCTGGAAAGATCCCAGTCCCAATTCAAACACTAGTCTCTCCCGCTTACTGACATTTTCAGGAGAAAAAGCAAACACCGTGTAGTGAATTCCAAACAAGGGGATAAGCAGTAGTGTAGAGCGAGCCAGTCTCCTGTTATAATAGAGTGAAAGAACTTTAATGCAGCCTTGTCATAAACAAATTGTGCTTTAATTAAAGAAGAAAACATAGAAAATATTTTGTTGCCTGCCTTTTGAGAAATACAAAAGCTTTATAATTATACAAGCAAATATACAACATTCCCATTTGTTCCCAAACAGTGATTTCACACACACTGGAGTTTGCTCCCACTTCTTCACATCGCTACAATAATAACATGTTAGTAATGCATGATACTCTGTACTGTTATTTTAATTTGCATAAGCAGGGATTTTTTCTACTGTGCTAAACATGAGGAGGGTAATCTTGCTAACAGATTCAGACTGCTACCATAACACAATGACAAACCTCTCACCCAGCTGCTTAATCCCAGTGGAGTGTTTGAAAACACCTTCTTTTTTTGAGTGCGTACGTGTGAGTTTATTTCTGCATAGTAAAAGTAACAAAAACAGAAATACAAATAACATTAAAGAATCCTGAATGTTCTTATCTTCATGATTAATCCTCAAGGTCTTGATTTTCGTTTTGGTTATAGTCTTGGAAACCTAAGTGTGATTTCATTGTGCAACTAATTTCCATTGCATCAGAATAAAGTAGTTTTAGAGGCAAATCAAACTCAATAATTATAAAGAAAAGGTCTGGAAATGAATGTATGTACCTGTAAGCAATTAATTGAGTATGAATTAAATTCCTCAAAAGCAGGGGTCCAGCCAAGTCTTGTGTGTGTTTTGAACGGTGTCATTTGCTGATTGAGCAGCAAAAAGACACCCAAGAGACAGCAAATGTTGATCTGAAAATGAGGCAAGTGCTTTACTATAAGCAGCGTGGCCTAAAGTAACCTCCAGGACATTTTCAAAGGGGAAGAAATATGACTGATTTCCTTCAAGCAAGTCAGGAGGCAGGTGGAGAACAAAAAGAGCTAAAAAGCAGTCAAGATCTTTGCAAGAGCTGCCTACATTTAAAAATGCGAATGTTCACTCTTCTTGCATCTGTATGGTATATTACAGACATGTTTGAATTTGCTAATATATGCTCAACAATATCCTGGAATTAACAGGATTGTCTTACTGAAGGTGAAGATTTAATTAATACATCTCAAAGAACTCTGTGAACAAATGTTATTATAGCTAATAATAAACTGGAAATGGGACATCAGTTCATTGTTGCTGTCCCTTGGTCGTTCTTGGTAAAAGATACATCACAGCCCTTGCCTTGAGATTGTCCCAGTCACATATGATTGATTATTCTGGTGCACACCAAATCTCACTGAAAGACCCCACAAACCAGAGAACAGAGTTCTTGTGAATTATCAAGGTAGACTTTCGTCAATTTTTTTTTAACAAGAGAGGAACAACCTTGGAACAGAATCTGCAGCTTTGGTGATCTCTAGTAAAATTAAGGTATAGAGGAGTGACACAGTGTAATGAGTTGAAAGACATTTCAAAGTCCCTTGTAGACCTTTTTCTCTGTTGACATGTAATCAAATTAATGAAAAGGAACAGAAACAGCATGGAAAAGTTTGTAGAATAACACTATGTTCATGAATAAAAAGGATATAAAGAATAAATATGCCTTAAACTAGCCATGGAATAATTTAAAAAAAAAACACCCAGAAATTAAAAAAAAAGACACAAATGAAGGTAGTAAATTGGATAAAGAAGTATTATTTCTCAAAAATCTGTTCCCATTTATATTCAGAATTAATGACAATAACAAAAGTTTAAATGTTATTTTGATTTAAAAGTCAGAACGGAATTGTCTATTAATATAGTATATCTCACCGCCTTCATAGGAGATTAATTTTGGGAAAGATGCAGAGGAAGGCTTTTTCTACTGTCAGTTTTCTGGTATTAATTGTATCTAATTAATCATACAATTAGTTTGCAGGATCTTGACACATAATGTCATCATCAACTTATCTGAGATGTTGTCTTCAACATTGTCAAAAAAGTCAGGAAGAAAATATGTGAAACAACAAATAGCACATTCTGAATTTCATAGATCGTTACAATCTATAAAAGGAAAATAAGTTTTTAATGACAAGAAAAACTTGAGAAATACTAATGACTGTGTGGATAATGATAATGAACTATTTTTAAGAGCATTAGGAAGAAAGAAGACTTAATGCAGCACCTGTGAGACATGTAAGTGTGTGCACCAGTGAAATGAAGAGGTTAAAGGATACAGGAAAATTCTCATGAGTGTAACAGCCAAAGATCTTCATCCTCTTTTC